CAGCCTGCAGTCATCTGGCAACAATGTGGTTTGCACTGGCTGGCTGGGGAAGTTGACTCCAGAGAAAATGTTGAGGCAGTATGCTTGGAAGAAACGCTGGTTTATCCTGCGGAACGGTAAGATGAATGGTGAGCCAGATGTTCTAGAGTACTATAAGAATGAACACTCCAAGAAACCCCTGCGGGTCATCAACCTAAACTTCTGTAACCATCTGGGTGTAGGCGTGACCTTCAACAAAAAAGAACTCCAAAAGAGTTTTATGTTTGATATCAAGACCAATGAGCATACCTTCTACCTGGTGGATGAGACAGAGGCTGACATGAATAGATGGGTCCAGAGCATCTGACAGATCTGCAGCTTCAGTCAGACTAAAGGGAGCACAGACTCCCTGAGAAACCTTTCTTCAGTCAGTCATAGTCTCCATGCTTCTCAAGCTGAGTTCAGCAGCTTTAGTCAGCCCTTTCTCTCTAGCCAGACAGCCCAAGCCAAGCCACATCCGGCCTCCTTGTCCACCAGTGCACCTCAGGGGTATCAACACTTGCACCAATGCATAAGCCAAAGGACAGAAAATGCGAGGAGTGACAGCTTCTCTTAGGGCACCTAACAGGAGAGTGATACAGCCACACAAAAACTTGCCATGGGCAATAAACACTGCATCAACAGAGTCAGTGATCAAGTCCATGGCTTCTATAGCCTTCCCAAGCCAAGCTGACAATTCAAAGACCATGCTTTTGACCTCCCCCATAGCCTGGCTTCACACAGCCACACCAAAGGCAGCCTCACAGGGTTTGAGGCAGATAGTGAGGATGTGTACACCTGCAAAGCACCCAGCAACACCCTGTGTAGGGAATTTGGAGACATCCTAGTAGACTCAGCCATAGCTCCCCCAAGCCACCCCAAGACACCTCGGTGGGGCAGCCCTCAACAAAGACCTACATGAGGCAGTGAAACCACCTGCTGGTCTGCTAACTCCCCAGAAATGACTATCAGACAATTAGTCATTTCAGACAATTGGGTCAATCAGACAGTGCCAGCTCTGATGACAACTATGTGCCCGTAAACCCAGGTTCTTACATCCCCATGAGCACAGTGCCCCATCACTTTGACCCAAAAGGCTACCCATTCACAGCCCTTCCTATTCCATAGAGGCTCCAGCTGAGGAAGCGAGATCTAGCCACTCCCAGTCAATCACAACCTCAAGCCTTTGGCCGAAAAGCAAAGCCAGCACCCCTTGACCTGAGAAACAATGCTATCACCAATGAGCTCCCTTTCAAGTCACCTGTCACCAAGTCTTGGTCCTTGGTCAACCACACCATTAACTCCAGCTCCTCCCAGTAATGCCATTCCATCTCCAACACAGACTCTGGAGACAGTGAGGAGAACTATGTCCCTATGCAGAACCCAATGTCTTCATCCCCTGTACCCAGCGGTACCAACAACCTGGCTCCAAAAAATGAGTACTGGCAATGTGAATTACATAGCCCTGAACTTCCAGCCAGTCTCCCCAAGCCCTCACAACAAGCCATCCACATTATCTTTCACATCGGATGAGAAAGTAGAATATGTCCAGGCAGATAAAGAAAAGACCCAGGCTTACAAAAGACCATACAGGAATGGACAAAGATGCGGCAGTCCTCAAGACCCTCCAAAGATGCCAAGCCATGGTAAGGGTGGCCATCCCTCCCCATACCTCCTCTCCTTTGTGAGTTTTGTTCAAATGATGTACGTGTATGTTCTGTATGTATGGTGTGGCCACACATGTGTTTATGAAGTGTGATCGTAAATGTGTGACTGTTAACAAAAGAATGCTATTGTGTTGTCTTTAAATCATTTAATTGCTGGCGAAGGAGCAACAGTTGTTAGAGTACAGGTTACTTGGGAGGGGAATTTCTGCTTTTGTTTTCACGGAGGGTGAAGGGCTGTGGATTTCTTACAGACTAGTGTGGTTTGATGGGGCATGACCCCCTGAAGCAGAGGCCCAGGTGATCTGAATATTTGTTTTCATTTAAATTTGATTGGTTAGAAATGGTAGTGATCACTGTCAATCACTTTTTTATTTTTATTTATTTATTTATTTATTTATTTATTTATTTATTTATTTATTTGGTTTATTGAGACACGGTTTCTCTGTGGCTTTGGAGGCTGTCCTGGAACTAGCTCTTGTAGACCAGGCAGGCTGGGCTCGAACTCACAGAGATCTGCCTGGCTCTGCCTCCCGAGTGCTGGGATTAAAGGCGTGTGCCACCAACGCCTGGCCAGTCAATCACTTTTTAAAAGAAAAAGGAAGAATATGATATAAAAATGATATTTTGTATTGGAATAGATCCTCATTTGTTGATACTTTGTATTGAAATTGATCTTCATTTGTTGATACTAGTTAGGTTTTCTAGATATATAGATATTCTTCAAACCCTTCAAAGACCTACAGAATATATGGCATTTAAATGGTTTAGGGTTTTTCTTGATAGTGAGACACAACTGCTCCTGGAACACCAATTATATCTGAGAGGAAGATGGGCATCCAAGAAACTCGTTATAGAGTTTGCCTTTGACATGGCAAGACTAGCCATTTGGGCAAGAGCTGCTTTTGCCTAAACTGTTTAACTGTTGCTTTATAAACTGGATATGCAGGACCCACAGGAACTGACTGCTAAAACAAGATGGACAGTCTTTCCTGTTCCTGCTTCATGGAGAAGTCTGCCAGACATTCTACAGGACACAGTAAAAAGGTAATAGACAAACATCCAATGCAGGAGGACAGTTTAGAATTTCCTGCTTTGCTGACAAGTCTGCCAGATACATTGTGGCCTGCAGGTTAAATATGGATGCCCCAATATTACCAGGTAACTTTGGGTGACTGTCTAGGAAGCAAGATGTCTCTGTCAGTTCTAGAGTTTATATATTGTCCTTCCATGGTCTTTGATGGAGTTGAAGATAGATAGTTATAGTAATGCACTAAGATAGAATGGTTGAAATCTTACAGTTCTTACTTGATAACTGTTTTGTTATATATATAGAAGGGGGAGATGTTGGGACTCAGCCCCAACAGGTTCTCTAAGAGTTGTTTTCCAGCATAACCACAGTTTCCTCCTGTTTTCCTGACTTCACTCCACTAGCATCAATATCCTGTTGTGAACCCTTCACCTGGAGTTTGGTAAGTTTGTATATAAGGCTGCTCCACAATAAAGGTGGGAGACATTCTCTCAGAAAATCAACCAGGCGTCTTGTCGTTCATCCAAATCTCCAGGCTTTCACCGGATACTCGGACTTAGTTGTGGTGCAGGCAGCCACAGATATATAAGTGCATAAATATATAAATAAAATCTGCTGAGTCTGTCCAGTGTTGCTTTTATGTATGTTATTTCAGGGCTGACCACTCGGCACTGTAAAACTAACCATGAAGTTCATCCCTGGGAGACTAATTCTCCCACTCTCATTCTTTTGTTGCCTGTAATTATTTGCCTACCTTGTGATATGTCCCCTTCCACAGCTCTGCTAGCTTCCTTATACAGGCCAGGCCGCTTGCCTAGGGATCACACCACCCACAGTGGGCTAGGATCTCTCAGTCATCATTCAAACAATTCCTCACAGACATGACCATGGGGCAATCTGATCTGGCCATCCCCCAATTGAGGCTTCTCTTAGAAATCTCTAGGCTGTCAAACTAAATGGAGAGAAACTCAAAGCAATTCCTCCAAAATCAGGAACAAGACGAGGCTGTCCACTCTCTCCATATCTCTTCAATATTGTATGTGAAGTTCTAGGTATAGCAATAAGACAAGAAAAGGAGATCAAGGGGATACAAATTGGAAAGGAAGAAGTCAAACTTCCACAATTTGCAGAAGATATGATAGTCTATAAAAGTGACCCAAAAAACTCTACCAGGGAACTCCTACAGCTGATAAACACCTTCAGCAAAGTAGCAGGATATAAAATTAACTCTAAAAACCAATAGTCCTATTATATACACATGATAAACACAATGAGAAAGAAATCAGAGAAACATCACCCTTCACAATATCCACAAACAAAATATCTTGGGGTAATGCTAACCAAAAAAGTAAAAGACCTGTATAATAAGAACTTTGAGTCTTTAAAGAAAGAAATTAAAGAAGATACCAGATGGAAAGATCCCATGCTCTTAGATAGGTAGAATCAACATAGTAAAAATGGCAATCTTGCCAAAAGCAATCTATAGAGTCAATGCAATCGCCATCAAAATCTCAACACAGTTCTTCACAGACCTTGAAAAAAACAATACTCAACTTTATATGGAAAAACAAAAGACCCAGGATAGCCAAAACAACCCTGTACAATAAAGGAACTTCTGGAGGCATCACCATCCCTGACTTCAAGCTCTATGACAGAAGTATAGTCCTGAAAACAGCTTGGTATTGGCACAAAAATAGACAGACCAAAGAAATCGAATTGAAAACCACGATATTAACCCACACACCTATGAACACCTGATTTTTGACAAACTAGCTAAATCTATCTATACAATGGAAGCATCTCCAACAAATGATGTTAACATAACTGGATTCAGACATGTAGAAGATTGCATGATAGATCTGTTTCTATCGACATGCACAAAACATAAATCCCAATGGATCAAAGACCTCAACATAAATTCAGCCACACTGAACCTTCTAGAAGAGAAGGTAGGTGGTACCCTCAAACAAATTGGTACAGGTGACCACTTTTTGAACATAACACCAGTAGCACAAACATTGAAATTGACAATTAATCAATGGGACCTCCTGAAACTGAGAATCTTCTGTAAAGTAAAGGACACAGTCATCAAGACAAAACGCCAGCCCACAGAATGGGAAAGGATATTCGACAACCATACATCTGACAGAGGGCTGATCACCAATATTTACAATGAACTCAAGAAGCTAGCCACCAAAACACCAATCAATGACATTAAAAAGTAGGGTGCAGAATAGAGAATTCTCAACAGAGGAATCTAAAATGGCTGAAAGACATTTAAGAAGTGCTCAAAATCCTTAGCCATTAGAGAAATGCAACTCAAAACTCTGAGATACCATCTTACACTTTGGGAGGCCAGCAGGGGACTGATCCAGACGCCTGAACATGGATGTCAATGAGGAGGCCTCCGCACTGTAGGGGGCCCCTGGTAATGGATTAGTATTTTTCCTGCTGTAAGAAGGGACTTTGAGAGCCCATCCCACGTCTTGGCCTGGACACACAGGGAAGGGCCTAAGCCTGGCCCAGGGTGATGAGGTGGACTTTGGGGAGTCCCTGTCGAGGGCCCTACCCAGCTTGGGGAGTGGAGGGTGGATGGGATGGGGAGAAGGTGGGAGTTTGGAAGGAAGGTTGGGGGGAGATTTTGGGGGAGTGGGGAGAGGGAGTAGGTATTGACATGTGAAGCAAGCTTGTTCCTAATTTGAACTAATGAAAAAAAAAAAAACAAAATAAAATAAAAAAGGAATCTCTAGGCTGTGTCAGGTTGATAGCGGAAGCTACCTAGGAGACACACACACAGAATCACACAGACACACACACACCTTTCTTTTAAAAGTAAGGAATGTGTCGTGGTTTATGAAGTTAAAAGTAGCTGCCACACTCTTGATGATGTAACACAATAGCTCATTTCAGAGGAGGGGGTACTACCTTCAAAATGTTCCATGAAATCGGTACAGATTCAGGATGTCTTAAGATGGAAAGGCAAAAGAAGGGACATAGAGACAACCGCGGGGTCAGATGACTAAAGGGAAGAGCAGAGATCTGAAAAAGAAGGGTCTCTGTAGTCTGTGACTGGAAGTGGATCACAAGTCCGGGAGATCAGAAATGGCCATGGTAATAATCTAATAATCAGACCGTAGTCAGCAGGGACAAAGGTGAGAACAACCCTCACTTGGCACTTCCATCCTTGTGAGGCAAGCACAGAGCACTAGGGCAGGATTTTGAGACACTGATGTATTTAATGTATGCATTTTAAGTGATTACTGAGATTTAACATATGATTACTGTGTACACCCTTCTAAGGCTATAACTTACTATAAGTTAGCGTTCCTAAACCATTTTTAATATACCAGCTAGAATGTGGGATTGTCCCTTTAAGACAGTGGTCACTCTTAAAAGAGACTCCACAGCCTAAAGAAGTCAAGCCCTCCTCCCCACAGCCATCTCCTGTGCACAGAGAATTACAAAGCACTCTGTGCTCTGACAGCTCTTAATTTATTCCAGTCCTTTTTCATGATGGTTATGTTGAACTAAATCACTGATGTGAAACTTCCACCAGCCTCCCAACAGTTATAAAATCTGGTACTTCCTTTGTTCTTGAGGCTGCTCTGGAGGCTTTCTGTGAGCCCAACCCCCACCCTTCCTAGGTGCTGCAATGGGGGCAGGGGCTCTCTTGCTCCACTCTCTCTACCCTCCCCATCCCTTTCTTCCTCTCCTTTCCGTCACCCCCCCTTTAGGGCCCCCACTGTGTATTCCCACATACTGCACCATTTTATGTCTAATGTTCTCCCTGCCACCTCAATGATCCATCATGGTCTTAAAGCCCTTTCTCCCAGTAAGCACTATTCCCTAAGGGAACTATGCTTCTGCTTCCTTTCCTTGACTAACAGCAGCTGCTTTGTCGCTATCTCTTTAATAGTCTAGGTAACAATCCCATGTCCACATTCTGCTTACATGCTCTTCCAATTTATTACCTGAATTGCAGTTCTAATTTTTCAGCTACAAAATCCTGCCTCTCTTTTTCCTTCTTCTCTCTTAATAACTTTGTTTTCTCTTTCATTCTGTCTTTTTTCTCTTCAATGGTTTCTCCTTGTAATTGTAGTTCAGTAAAATACTCATTTTCTTCTGATGATAAAAGTTCACGTAGCCTGAAACAAACAAATGAAAAACAACTAAGTGATTTATTCATTAAAATTATCATTCCAACTAACTTTTGTTTTGAATTAGTGTCTAACAATTTTTAAAGAAATCAAAAGATTGGGCTGGAGGGATAGCTCAGCTGTCAAAGGCTAGGCTCACAACCAAAAATATAAATAAAAGATCACGATAAGGTTGAGGAAATACAATAAAGCATGAGTTTTGTCTCCAGAAGCCACTTTGAAAGACTACAAGAAGAGTAGGGTGATGACCTGAGTTTGACCCTGGGATCCACATAGTGGAAGGAGAGAATCACAACTTGTCCCCCGACCTCCACATCCACAATGGCACTCACCCCTTCAATAAATAATGTTAAAAAAAAATCACTGTGGGTCTCCATAAAATAAGACCTTAATTCATGCCATATCTTATTTGGTAACATACAGATAAAATAGGAAATGCATATCTTCAAAAGTAGCAAAGTCGATAGATTCTAATTAAACATTTTAATTAAAGAAATAAAACATAGCTGGGTCACACGCCTTTAATCCCAGCACTCGGGAGGCAGAGGCAGGAGGATCTCTGTGAGTTCGAAGCCAGCCTGGAGTGAGTGCCAGGATAGGCTCCAAAGCTACACAGAGAAACCTTGTCTAAAAAAAAAAAAAAAAAAAAAAAAAAAAAAAAAAAAAAAAGAAGAAATCATAAAACAGTATATTCTTTCTCCATTAAAATGTGGTTAACATACATAAAAGATCACGATACATAACATACAGAATAACGAACAATAGTTATTGCTTTTACTATGAAATACTTAGCCATGGCCTTTATTTGACCCGATTGTTTCATGCACGTTATTAAAGTTTGTCAACTGAGGACGTAGAACTTGCCTAACATAGGAAAGGCTCCAGGCCTTATCCCCAGTACTCAAAGGAAATAAAAAGTGAGTGCTCTGGGAGTGCTTCTAACCTGGGTACCAGGTCTGTGAGCCTTACTTATTCCGCCTCTCTTCGGTGTTGATGATGAAGCCTTGCATGGCATCCTTGACTCTAGCTTGCACACGACTGTTAATGCATGTGCGGTCTTTGTGCTGCATCCAGTCAATTCGCAGGCGTTCCTGCTCATTGGACTTAATGGAAGCCAAAGTAGTATGGTACTTGTGGTAGCTGCGCTGGATTCTTTTCAGATGTTGCTCAGCCCTTTGAGCCTTGGGAGGCTTGGCCCTCTGAAAAAAAAAAAAAGGACAGTTGTCAGTTACAATAAGCAAAATTCAAGAGCCTGACTGTAGAGAGAAAAAACTTGTGTGTGTGTGTGTGTATGTGTCTGTGTGTTGCATACACATATACATACATACATACATACATACGTCCACACACACATCATCTTGCCATTACAACCAAAAGCAGCTTAAGTCTCTAAGGGCTAACTTGTTTGTTTCCCTGAGTTTTATATTCATCAAATCATTCTCAAATATGGAGAGTCTTTGGCATTTGATGGCATGCATTCTGATAAACCTATTGTAAACAAGAGACACTGTTAGTAAAAAATGCCATTTAACACACATAATCTACCAAGCATAACAAACAATGTAGAGTATCTGTCATTCGGCCTCACCATCTTGCCTGAGCCTGGTATAGGCTTAACCTCAATGTCCTGTCCAAGACCTTGAGAGTAACCTTACTATATATTGATAGTCCATGAAAAGATCCATATTCACATTTTAAAGTACAACCTGCTGAATGCCTATCATTTTTGCACCATCATAAAAAAGTAAGTCAAATCATGAGTTAAAGATAACCTATTTTTCTTAAAAAGTCCTTTGATTAAAAGTAGATATAATTATTAAAGTTAAATTTTTGTATTAATTGATTAATTTTAGAAACAAGGCTGCTTCACATGTCAAAGTTAAAATTTGAACAGCTTTTCCCAGCCTTTTCTGCATATTCCCACCAGGTCAACACATCCCTCAATCCTCACCAGAAGCTTCTATTTGCAGTAGGTGGTGATTAACCCAGACACCCACAACTGGCCAAAGTACATAGAATAATAGACCACAGGATGCTCCAAAGGAAACATAAATACCGAACCCCAGGCCCTCACCCACTCCCAAGGCTCAGAGATCATTGCAGAAGAGACAGGAGTGACAATGACAAAAACATCTTCTCAACACAGTAGTGCTGTTGCACATATGAACTGTGAGTGATTATAACAGCACAAAGACTTTGCAAGCCCCAGCCAGACTGTATCCCAGCATTCCCAGCATGGAAAGGGAGGCTGGGCATACAATCCCATCACTGGCTATGGAGTGAATGGCAACAACTCTTAGCTGCTGGGAGAGAGACTGTTTTCTTTGAGAGTGCATCCCCTGGCTCGTTGACCACACTCAGCAGAAGACCACACATCCAAGAATATGGGGGTAACACAAACTGGCCTTAAAGGGTTAAAAAAGAAAGAGGATACAAATTGGTTGGGTATGGAAGGAGGGGTGGATATGAGAAGACTTGGGGTAAATACAAGCAAAACAGGCATGGAACTGGAAACTCAAAGAATTAGCATAGATAGGGGATGGATGGATGGAAGGATGGATGGATGGACAGATGGATTGACAGGAAAAAATTAAACAGACCAAGTTCTACAACCAGAGATGTGAGTGCTATGCTCAAAGTGCTTCAAATAGGATAGACTTGGATAGTAAGAATTAGGGGCTTTCTCAATCTTGTTCTTGTGACCTACTGTACTGACATGGTTTCTAACCAGTTATTAGCATCAAAAAATTTCAATAAAAAAAGGGAGGGCTACTATCTAGCTACACATGTACTAAACTGTAAATGTGAAAGACCAAAAAGGAAGAAATGAAGAAAGAAAAGAAGGATGGAGGAGGGGGCTGATACTAGAAATTCACTCTGATTCGGTTCATTTTTTAGAAGTTTGAATGCAAGGCCTATGCTGCAGACAATTCTGGCATAGTTTCAGTTTCTTTAAATATATTCTCTTTGCACAATGGTCACTTAGAAGTTGGATATGTATGCACATTTTGAATCCAAAACAGCACACTAAATGAAATCTCCTTGACTTTATATTTATTATTTCTGTATTGCTAGCACTGAGCACTCTCTTCCCAGAATTAGCCTCTCAATAAGAATGAGTGAACAAGTGTTTCTGGTAGTCTTGATGCAGCGTCTGTACCTCCTGGTGCCACCAAGAAATCAATAGTCTTGAACTTTGTGTTTTCAGTGGTGGTTTTATCCAGTCATCCTTGGGTGAACTGTGGCAGGTCAGTGCTCATTCATAGTAATAAACCCAGAAGGCATGAGGCAGATTCTTCTGCTGAATTACATTTAGAACATTGGTGCCAGAATTACCAGATACTGAGTTTGATATTTGTAGTAAAGCACTGGAAGGAGACAAACCAACAAACACAGCATCCAAAGACAAATAGATGAAATGTTTCAGTCTTGGGGTACACAAAATGGCACCTGGATGTAGCTGACACACCCTGTGAAATGGGAAGCAAGACCCAAGATGAGAGTAGGAAGTATATCATGAGAAGCAAATCCACATCAAAAGTATTTGGAGTCTAGAGTCATTCAGTTAAACTACTGTTCTTGAACATTCCTGGCATGTTATAAGTACAGATTCTGTAACAGTATAGTAGGCTTCTGTGGGCTGAGAACAACATACAGGCCAGCTAGGAACAAATGGTGCCAGTCATCATAACAGGAATCAAGACCCAGGGTCACTTTTACTCAAGAGAGGAACAAGGGAAAGACTTGGTGAGAAACAGCACCAGTGGCAGCTGGACCTGGAAGCTCTGTAAGGCTTGGGGCATTGAGACACAGTTGTCATGTAGCTCAGGATGGCTTAAACTCTCCTTTTAACTGATCATCTGCCTGTATCTCCCAAATGTTGTAGTTACAGGCTTGTGTCACCACACCTAGCTGAGTTCCCAGTCTCTGGAGGATCAAGGTGGGACCTTGAGTTGTCTAAAAGGGAAAAGGTGATGCCAATTGAGGAATAGGTTTGTCACTGACCAAAATCCACACTGTTCAATAGAAATATAATACAAAACAGACACATAAGTTTTTCTTGTAACTGAATTAGTTAAGTGAAAATAGGAAATTATTTTTGATAATATATTTTATTTATCCAATATACCCAGAACATTATCTTTTCAATAAGTGACTCTGAGCATTTTCAACATGTTTCTAGAAGTAGAAAGTCATGTGTAGGCCGGGCGATGGTGGCACACGCCTTTAATCCCAGCACTTGGGAGGCAGAGGCAGGCAGATCTCTGTGAGTTCAAGACCACCCTGGTCTACAAGAGCTAGTTCCAGGACAGCCTCCAAAGCCACAGAGAAACCCTGTCTCGAAAAAACAAAAAAAAAAAAAAGAAAAGAAAAGAAAAGAAAATCATGTGTGATTAGAAACTACAATAATGGAATGAACACTAACACTCTGACCACACTAAAATACAATCAAAGAGGATTTGTGATGATCAAGGAATGACTTTGCTACTATAACATAGAAGGTTCCTATTTTAAAGAACAATGACTTCATCCAAGTTTGATTCTGACCCATACGCTAGTGCTTCTAGGTTTCAAGTATAGGATTTCTCCTCTGTCAAATGAGAAAAAGAAATGTGCCAATGGCTGCTCACATCACTGCTTGTTTTATTGCTTTTTTCTAGGGAATTTCTGAGGGTTCAAGCTACACCAATTCTGTTACCACTCAACTCTGCATTTCTTATCGCACACTTAGACACCAGAGAAGAAGAAACAACTCTGGCTTCTTTTGCTTCCTACTTTTTTTTCTGTAAGCAGACAGTATTCAGTGGCCTGCTTCTACTTTAGCAGTCTGTTTTTTTTTTTCCTATCCCTTATTGGTTATGAACATAATAGTCATCAACAAATGGCTTGGATCCCAAGTGCTGCGTTGAGATATGTGACCCTAAAGTGATCTGATTCTGTCCCTCATGAAGTTATCTGGAGCCCTTAAAGCCCATAGCAGTTTCCAGACTACTATTTTCCAGGTCCAGATTCTATAGTCCTTCAACCTAGAGAAGAGGGAGGTCTATAAGTGAATGGAAATGTGGTACATGCCCTATGGACCATAGCACAGCTGTATTCTTGATTAGCCCAAATCTTTCTTCCACAAGTTGCCACCACAGAGAACATAACCGATTACCTGCCTTTAGGGGCTTATTTAGGAGGAAGCTGTTTCTTCACCTTGTGGATGGGGCTTTTAATGAAGGGGAACTCCCAGGATCAATGGATTTATTCCTGTATATTCTTTAGTGTTACACACCCAATATCACTGGATTTATCCCTGTATATTCTTTAGTGTTACACACCCAATAGAGGTTCCAGCCAGAACTCTGATTATACACGAAAGATTTTCTGGTGTGTAGAAACCAGCTTGCAGGAATAAAGGAACCCAGATGCATGGATAAGGAGTGTCTGGATTCTTAGAAAAATGCATTAAACTACTTTCTTATGGGCTACCTTTACCGGCCTACCCTAGGGGGCAACTAACTGGTTTATTTCCAGTTTGTAGGGACAGTTTTGTCCAATACCTCCTACTTACTTGGCTGGCACAGCAAACATTCAATTATCACACACAACATTCAAAGTCCAATTCCCTTTCTATAGACTTTTCATAGGGTCACAAGACCAATCCAAGGTCGTACTGTTGAACTGTAGCTGGCACAGATCCAGAATCTGCCTCCTGGCCCAGTACCCTTCTACAGTATTTCCACACCCCTGGCCATGGCAAGTGATCAGATCTTTCCGTTTGGGGGGTAACAAAAACACCAAGATCCCAAGTGGTGATTCTAGCTGGAGGTTGGAGTGGAAAAGATTGGGTTGGGTGTGGGCGGAATGATAGGTGTGCAAAAACCTTTTCTTCCTCAAAATCTGCTACATAAGGAACCTGCTTCCCAGGTGAAGGAACCCAGACAGGTCGGGCCCCACCCAGAGATGGAAAAAGTTTTAAGTTCCCCGCACAAACGTCCTGTACTTACTATGATCACCGCCTTGGGAGTGGGGCCATTAAATTCCCTTGGGACAGTGCCAAATCGCTGGCTGTACATTTTCAAGTCTCTCTGGGATGGTGACGACCAGGAACCGCAAAGCCCAGAAGAGTCTGCTTTCCAGACGCAGAGGTTGGTTGCCATGGTGAGCCACCACTCCCTGTGAGCCGCTACTGAAGGTGGGCTGGTCAAGCGGAAGTCGTCCTTGGTTACTAGCCCATGAGAGCACTCTGCTGTTATCACTCCGCCCATCCATTGCCCAACCCCTGGCAGCTATACTTCCACCCACCTCCTTTTCTTTCAGGGCTTGTCAGAAGGTGGGGGTGGGGAGTGACGGGACCGACACACCTCTAACTCAAGTGTCAAAACACAATCCAGTGGATTTAGCTAGTTATCCTCTGTAATTGAGCTAAAAGCACAAGAAAGGGCAGTGAGTGGAAAGGTTAAAATTTTCAACTACCTTAATCTTGATGACGGTAATAATCACATAGCAACCTTGTGTTTGAGTAGTTTTTGTTTTTTGTTTTTTGTCTTTTTTTTTTTTTTTTTTTTTTTTTTTTTTTTTTTTTTTACATTTTACAAAGTATTTCCAGAAACAACCTTTGAGGTTAACAATCTTACAGGGTTGAAGGAACTGAAGGTATCATTAGCTTTATTTTACAGTGAAGTCCATTAAAGCTCAAAGAGCTTAAGTGCTATATAGAGCCACACAACCAGTACTACCTGTGAACAGCATCTTCCCACTGCACTGAACAGAAAACAGAGCTTACAGTTTGGGTGAACACGGGAAGCAAGCAGGTCAGACGTACTGGTGGGGAAGTAAGTAGTCTTAGGGGCTGAACACAATAAAGTCTGAATGGAGGCATCACTGTGGACCCAGACTTCAGATCACAAGGTCAGCTACTCAATTCTTGGGCATCAGATCCCAGGCAAAACTGGCAACATAATCCGGGGAACTGGACAGTCCTCAGCACACCTGGGGATCAGAGCTGTAGTTCCCATTAGTAGTAAGATAGAGATAACAATGTTGAAGAGCCAATTATGAATGCTACTTTGGTACCGGTTCTTAGGTGGTGGGGAGAAGAACAGAAAAGCGGATGGGGGAGGGGCAGTAACAAGGTCAGTCACTGACAGACACTAATAACTCATGTGTATACCCTCTTAAGATCGATTTTCTTCAAATTTGCATGCTTAATTATTTGGAACCCAACCACTTCAGATGTTCTATATGGTACATCTCTAGATTTGGATTCCATTTCCTGAATTCCGAGTTCAGCTTTTCAGCCACAAAAGAATGTCTTTCTTCTCTTAATAATAATAGTTTTTCTCTCCTACAGTACTTCTTCTTTCAACTGCAGTTCAGTAAAATACTCATTTTCATTTACTGCTAACAGTTTATGTAGCCTGAAACAAACAAAAAAGAAAAAAATTAAGATGATGTCTGAGTTCCCTGACAATGTCCAGAGGGGCAGCTCCTTCATCTGAGTGGCTCTAAGTGCTGGCCTTTAGGCAGGTCTCCCTCACCCCCAGCACACATACCCTCCACAGAAGGGAAGACACCCCTTGAGCAGGGCTTGTGAAACGACCCCACAGATTGGGGCTGCCTGGCCCATATTCTTGAGATTGTGTAGCCGGAGGTCCTGTTCGTGAGTTTGGGACAGCCTGGGGAAGTTGATCCTTGGAGGCAGCCAGCTGCCTGCAGGCAGTGCACCACCATCAGAACTCTCGGGATAAGCCTGGGAAGGAAACTCCCAACTTAAGACTTTACCATCCCCTGAAGAGTGGAGCCAGTTTCTCCGTACACCAGGGGTACTGCTGGCACAGGCTTTGCCCCAGGGTGCTGTAGAGCACTGCGGGTCCCCCATTTGGGGTTATGTTTGGGTCAAGCCTGTGGTTTCCGGCTGAAACATTTTGTGTTTCCTTTTGTAGCACATCCTGTTTTTCTCTTGGGCAGCTGAGCTCTCTGGCAGCCCTATAGGCTTCACCCTGGGGCGTTTCCACCGTGCTGCAAGACAGTATTTAAGGCTCCCCATTCCCCCAAATAAACAGCATTCTGCTTGCTTCTTTAAATCTTCAGGCCTTCGCCCGATAATTAATAGTCAAGTATTTCGGGCGCTACAGGGTGCCTGGCACAGAAACCACCCAATGGTCTTCTCAACCAGCCGAGGCCTGGAAGAGTCTTAGCGACTGCAAGGTGCACGAGTAGCAAGCACATTACCTCAGCCTAGGGAAATGACAGAACTGACCTTCAGCTAGCCACCCACAATCCCAATTTTTCTACAGCAGTCAACACTGTTACCACCACCAAACAGTTCTTAAAGAAACACATAAAAACCAGTAAATAGCACAAGAAAATTGTTTTAAAATAATTTTAAAATAGAACAGCTTAGAAATAGAAATGATTAAGTTGTTTCCAACTTTCTATAGCATCTCAAAAAACTCAAACAAGGGCTGGCTTCTCCATAGTATACTAGATTCAATATTTTGAACATCAAGGTCCATAGTAAACTGGAGATCTTTTATCACTTGTGATAAATATTGATGCAGTTTATAAAATTGCATTTCTGGATCTTGTACAATGATAACTATGGGCCAAGTTTTCAATAACTGGACGAGTGATACAAATAACAGCTGAGACCAGCAAGACTGTTATGGATGAGCTTGACAGGATCTCTTTGCTTGCTGGGACCATCATGAAATCCATGGTCTTCAGCTTTACATTTTCAGCAATGTAGTTTTGTCAGTTATCCTTGGGTGAGTGGTGAGACCTTTGGGAGCTGAATCATGGCAGGGTGGCTTTCTAACATGTTCCCTTGTCTAGACTATGCTTCCCAGAATCCTTCCCCATAGACTTCTAGTTAAGAAAATCCACAGAAACATTGTGGTTAGCAGAAGTGAAGCGACAGCAGGCTGTTGGGAAGTTGGTGCAGGGATACCAGGCATGTTGCAGTTCATACAAGCAGCCATTAATCTGCTGTCTCACCTTGGTATGGGGAAACAGCAAGTCCTACAGCCAGGCCTTCAGCTGCTACAACTTCCCTGGGCTCTTCCTTCAGCTTCTCTAGTCCTAGGCCAGATGTTACTTCTCTCTGACGAAGGACACTAGCTTCTTCTGCAGGACACAAATGTCATCGAAGCTGGAGACGGTGAGACACTGACATGGTTCCAGGCCATCTTCTTGAATTCCAACTCTTGTTCATGGGCTCCCATGTGTCCATCCACCTTCCCTTCCTGACTGCCTGTCCTGAATACTTTAAGTTCCAGCATTACATACAAATGACAGCCTTAGAGGCCACTGAACCATCTCCCAAAATTATGTAATGCAAAATGTCTCTCAAAACTCCCTTAATACACATACACTATTCTTTGTTGTACTGGTTTGACCTTTTGATTGTACCCTAGTCACATAGTAACCACAATCTTTGTTCACAGGTCAAATGCCAACCAAAGACATTGTTACCCTTAGAACTTCACCAACAGAACTGCCAGAATACTAGGGACAAGTGGTGTACTCTAGGGGTTAAAAAGCAGTATGACCCCTCGACAGAACTAGGCAAATCAGGACAAAGGAAGAGCAGAAGCCGACAGAGCTGTGCCTTGTAAGTTGGAAATAAGAAATCCACATCTGAAATTAGCTAAAGCAACAGGGCTGGGACTAGGCTACAGCAAGCAGGGCACACAGGACACAAAGTATGACGAGGCACTCAGTCCTGGCCCGGTAAATCTGGCTAAGTAACCAATTATATTTCTTTTTGGCATTTAAGTATGGAAAGTGAGGTAAGGCTAGCCAAGACTGGCCCATGGGCAGGACTCAGTGCATAAGTTAATTCAGCCTCCTAACAAACATTTGAGCTAAGGGCAGGAAACAAACACAAAGGTCATCAGAGAGAAGATGCTGCCAGGAAAAGATGGGCCAGGCTGACAGCTTTAGCTCCAAGTACTGCTCTGGCCAAAGTGAGACCATCTAGGCTCAAGCAAATTGACAGCAGCAGTGGGGAAGAACACACTTTCCGGGTTGAGGGATCTTATGCAGCATCTAGGGCCTTCAGGAAACCTAGATTGTAGATGAGCCAGTGCCCTGATGAGAAGGTGACCCCATCCACCTATAGCCTGGGCATTCCCTAAACCACAAGAGGCAAAAGTGTAAAGGACATCTTTCAGTGTTCATAGTGATCCACTGATATTTTCAAAGTCACTAAAACTGTTATTGTAATATACATTATTGCACAGACTGCAGTTAACAGTTTAGTGGATTAAAGAACAAAGCTTTTATAGCCTGGTGTATTTCTAGACTCTACCAATACTAGCTATCTAACACTGGGTTCATCTATTCTGTGTCTGTTTACCAACCTGCGAAAGTGCACAGTACCACTTAGGCTTCCTAAGGACTACTGTGAGGGTTCAGTAAGTGGCTCCACAGGAGGAGCGCACCAAACAGCAATGCCTTTTCCTCCTTTATTCTGTAGCATTTCAACTGCTGTTTCCCTGAGAAAATGTTCAAACACACTGCCAGGTGTCATCCAGAAGCCACCAACCAACAGTTATGAAGATGGCTTGTTTGAGTGGTTTGTAGTGGCTTCAATTATATCCTTCCCCTACTCCTACATCCAGCTTTTCATCGCACTGAGATCCTGGGAGGAGGGGATGCTCTTTCAGCCTTCTACACTTTCTCTTTCCAGTTTGCTTCCTCTAAGCTGTAAAGGACTGAGCAGGCCTGTTCCTCGATTGTGCTTGTCAGTTTTTCTCCTAGGGTTGATTCACAAAAAAGCTCTGCAACCAGGCCAGGGCCCAGTACCTGGCAGATCAAGGTTGTTTCTCATAAAGCCGGTCTGCAAATATCACCTCCAGTTCTACAGTCAGCAGAAGCTTCCAGTCTACTGCATTTTAGCTTCAGGTTTTTTAAAGTCCTTGGACCTAGGGAAGAGGGAGCAGGTCTGTCTGTTGAATGAGGTTTGCTATGCATTTCCTACTATTCTGCATCTGCATCCATTTCTCCTTATTTACCTATAGTCACTTTCCTTTCTTCTATAGACTAGCAAGGTAAACAGTATAGCACTTCTCTGTTAAGAGAGAATAATTTCAATTTCCAGAAAATCATAAGCTCCTAGAAGCCAGGGATCCTCTATCTCCTCATGGGTAAGCCTTACAGGCTGCAGTATCATCACCAATGGAAGTCCCCATCTGCTCTACACCAGGCAGGGTCTCAGTCATCTCCATCTACTACAAACTCAGGTTTCCTAGCCATTAAAACCAGTGTGTGGGAGCAATGGCACCCAGGTGGTTGGCCCAGGAGATTTTTTTTTTAACCTTGGGGGTGGTCCTCCTTCCACTACCACAATGGCATCTCTTCTCACCTCTGTTACTAGACTTAACTGGGTCAGTTCTACAGTATCTGAAACAGTAAACTCAACAGGAAAGGTTTGGGACACACAGCCCAAATCTCCCACAGAGGCTACTCTAGGAAGTGGGGGACACACTTGAGATCACACAGCTACACACAGACTCAGCCTGCAGAGCCACTTAAAGCCCAATCCCCTAACTCCACTGCTTGGGCAAGTCCAATGTCATCTGTGTGACACACATTCTTCCCATCATCAGGGACAGCTCACCCAATAATGGGCTCATGGAGACTTCTAAGGCCTTCAAGACCATAAATGGTGATCTTCTGAGTAAGAATGCTTATGTCAAGTCTGACCCTTAAAAGGGGACCAGCCTCACTTAATCTGTTTTCTTTCCAATTTCATCACGGCACATCAGTCCTTCTGTTCCTTTCCCAAGAGGAGAGCCCTGGAATACCAACAGGCTGGATCTCAAGAGCAAATCTTCACAGTACTGCACAAAATACCCCCTTACTGTTTGTGCAGTGGAACGGTTGCAGGCCTTTATGTCCCTCTGCACCCAATCAAATTGCTGACCCTAGGTTTAAAACTAAGGGCCCACATGTGGCAGGCACCCACCCCATCCCCACACCTAACTGTATGGGGCACCTTGGCAACCAGGCTGCTGCATCCCGGAGGCGGGTTCCACCCAGGCTGAAAATCTCTGTGATCTAGGAAAGAATTAACATCATGGGTCAGCATGACAGGAGGAGAGAAAGCAAGATCAGGGCAGGGTGGGAACGTCCCCCAGCACTGACCACTGGTGTGCCAACCCCTCCTGTCTCCTCCTCTGGGGCTGATGCAGAGACAAAATCTTGTCTGTTTTCTTCTCTATCCTCCTCAGGGCCAGCAGGCTCTTGTTTCACAGGTACAAGGTCTGGGTCTACTGCCTAGGAGAATGAGGAAGGGCAGTAGTTAGGACAGGGTCAGCCTGAAGCAAGGTTTTCGTTTTTGTTTTTGTTTTTTTTTTTTTAATTAGCCAACCCATTATGCAGATAGACCTCACTTTTATCACTAAGAAATGCCATCTCTCTGCCATTCCTCAACAATCTTCAGTCTCCTGTGAGCTGGGCAGTATGGCAGGCAAACTTAGTTGCCTATGGAGAGTACAGCACCTGCTAGATATGCTGGATAATTCAACAGACTGGTCATCATCAGCACACCATCACTATTCCCAGTACCACCATCATGGCTCACTATAATTCTGGTTACAGACCACTTGTATGGCACCCATAGGACACTCATTACCTCCTCAACATTGCTAGGGCAGCCAGGCTGCAACGTGGATGAAGTCAGAAAGGCTGTGCCTGCTGTCCACTCCTCTGGAGCATCCCCCTTCTCTTGTTTCACCTGAGGCAAGGTCACAGCCCAACTCTGGGCAGAGCACTAGGCCTCCTGCATAAGAAAAGAGGGCAACAGACTTGGTCTCAGCTCCATGGCACAAGGCTGGGTGGAGCTTGGAAGAGTGGGGAGAGATCCTTACCTGTAATGGGGCTTCTGAGGAAGCTGCAGCAGGGCCAGGCACCTGCAAAGGACTGCTGGCACCTTCTCGTAAAAACACAAGGTCTGTGTCAGGTGGGGGCAGCACAGAGTCTCTACCTACTTGCTGCTTGGCTGAAGCCTGGGCAGGGCCTGGTGGGATTGTAAGCACAGCCAAAGGGGCCTTTGAGGAAGGGCTCACATGGAGCTGTCGAGAACGAGGCCTCTTTCGACAAGGATGACGTGGGGGTGACACTGCTCCCTCCCCTCTGCTCCCCCCTCACACCCTGCCCCAGTACTGGGCAGCAGCCGCTTCTGTGAGAAAAAGATTAAGTGCTGTGGTCAACCTGGTGCCATATGACCTTACCCACCCTGCCCTACTCAATGTGCCTGCTAACTTCCTGTCAGACCCAGCAGAGACCCTGCTGCTAACATGAGCTCTCATCACTGAGCCTGATAATCCATCTCCTGTTAGTAATGGCAGGAGATCTGGACTCACCCCAACACACTGTCTGTGAATCCTAAACTGGAGTCAATACACCACCCACCCATCTACCAGGCCTGCCTACCACTCCCAAACGCGGGGGTGGGCCAGGCCCAACCTAGCCCATCCACCTAACCCCTCCTGCCCCACACCCCATAACAA